AACTACTCTATATTTACGGTAATCAGTTTATATTGTATAATGTAACTACTCTATATTTATGGTAATCTGTGTTTAGTGTATAATGTAACTACTCTATATTTATGGTAATCTGTGTTTAGTGTATAATGTAATAGTTACATTATACAATATAAACTGATTACCGTAAATATAGAGTAGTTACATTATACACTAAACACAGATTACCGTAAATATAGAGTAGTTACATTATACACTAAACACAGATTACCATACAAATACAATAGTTACATTATACACTAAACACAGATTACCATACAAATACAATAGTTACATTATACACTAAACACAGATTACCATAAATATAGAGTGGCTCTATATTTATGGTAATCTGTGTTTAGTGTATAATGTAACTACTCTATATTTATGGTAATCCTGGTAGACAAGGTGATGACATCACCTCCAATGGTTAGTTACCTCTCACCTAGACCGGTAGACAAGGTGATGAGATCACCTCCAATGGTTAGTTACCTCTCACTTAGACTGGTAGATAAGGTGATGACATCACCTCTAATGGTTAGTTACCTCTCACCTAGACTGGTAGATAAGGTGATGACATCACTTCCAATGGTTAGTTACCTCTCACTTAGACTGGTAGACATAGTGATGACATCACCTCCAATGGTTAGTTACCTCTCACTTAAACCAGTAGACAAGGTGATGAGATCACTTCCAATGGGCATTCCTACCTTTTTTTTAGTGAGTCTTGTTTGTTGTTGTCAGTACACTTTTTTTGGAAATGTGTATACAGTAAAGATTACAACTCATCTTTATCATGGGATCAACTGATTATACCACTTAAAGCACACTCACCTTTCCAATTTGTTAGTATTTTATGTTGGGGTCAGTATGCTTCCTCTGAAGTGTTAAAACTCACCTTTGCCATGGGACCAGCTAATAAGGCCACGCCCACCAGACCCTGCCCCCACTACACCTTTTCCACCACCATATTTGTTATGGTCAGTCTTTTTCTCTGGCAGCGTGTACTTAGGCAAACTCTTAAAGAACCATGCTCCTGATTTCTTCCACATCTGGCACATATACAAAATATACAATTTGTAATCATATAAATTTCTATTATATTTTGAAAAAATTATTAATAAGTTAAGAACAACCTGTAATGGACTAAATCATACAGCTGCTACAATCAGGGTGAAACAAAAAAAACGAATTTATTGAACTTTGACAACCACAGACATCCAAAATAAAACTTTCAAACAGTTGGAATATAAAGTTTATCATTTACCAAAAACACAGGAGTTGATACTAACGTAAATGAACAATACAACATAAATATCAATGTTAATAATTATTTCAATAAAGAAAGAAATTAGGACAAAGAACCAGAAGGAGAAAACCCAAATTCCAAAAAGGCATTATATTCCAAATTTAAACAACTTCAAGATTAATAGCAACAATCAGTAATAATTTGTTCTAACTATATCTCATGAACTAACACATTTAAGCTAAAGGCAGGGTTTTTATTAGGTGGTTAGACCACTAGGTTACATCCATGTGACTATTTAATTTACATAATCTTTCACAACATTAATATCTGTACCTCACCACTAGGGGAAGCTTGTGTCAGTTTCATAATATATAAGAACTGAAATTCTATGTACTCTAGCCAGAAGGTGAGTTAGTGCTTTAATATAGCTTAACATTCATAGTTGAACTAAATGATAGAAGGAATAATAAATGAATGGTAAACAAAATAAAAGTATAATTTGCAAAGTATCTAGAACAATATTTATTATTCATTTTTATATACACTTTATTCATTAAATTATTAAGGTCTTATTTGACATATAGTTTATGAAATTAAAAAAATTACAAATATGAATGATTTCCACCCTCAACAGACATATACATCCTGATCTCCCTTCCAGTTTATTACATGAAGTAGTGTAATCTGACTCTAGGTTTTGTGTTATTAAAAACACGAGAAAGATGATTCTTGCATTCTTGTGTCACCTGAGAACAAGGCATGTTAGATTACATGTTAATTACCAGAAGTACTTTTCTTTTCTTATATTAACAAAGCAAAGAAGAGAATAATTCCATGTTTTTGTCACTGATAAGGAATAAGTTAACTTCAAGTATCTTATACAGAAAGAAGAATTCCAGAGTGTTCTTTTATCCAAACAGGGACTAGGATAGCTTCGGGTATATACTGAAAATTAACCCTTAGGCTTTCTATAACTGGACATGCGAAGTAATATAACTTCAGGTTTTCTATAATCAAACTCAAGATGTAACATAACTTTGGGTTTTCTGTAACTAGATGAAGAAAGTAATATAACTTTACATTTCCTGTTAACTCACACAGAGTAACATAACTCCAAATTGTCTGTTAGCCTCCACATTTTCTGTTAACAGACAAAGAAAAAGATAACTCCAGGTTTCCTATTAATAGACACAGTATAAAATATCTCTAGATTTCCTTTTAACAGACACATCAGTCCAAGGTTTCCATTAACAGACACAGAGGTTTTCTGTTGACATTGTAATATATCTCATTGTTTTCTGTTAAGAGACACAGAATAAGATAATGCAGGATTTATGTTTTTGTACACAATGAGTAAAACAATCCTTAATTTTCTGTTAAGTGATACACAGTATAACTCCTGGTTTTCTGTTAACAGACACAGTAAAATAACTCCAGTATTTTCTGATTGTAAGGTGTCTTGACACACTGATGAATTTAACATATGAACATAACATTTTCTCATTCTAAAGTGTTTTAATACACATACTGATAATGTAACACAGTAGCTTTTGATTGTGAGGTGTCTCAAAAACTTATTGATGAAGGTAACACAGTAGTTTCTGTTGTAAGGTGTCTCAACCCACTTATTGATGAATGGAACACAGTAGTTTCTAATTGTAAGGTGTCTCTACAAACTTACTGATAAACATAACAAAATTTCTGATTGTAAAGTGTTTCAACACATTTACTGATGAACACAAAACAATAGTTTCTGTTTGTAAGCTGTCACAACACACTTACCGATCAATGGACCATAGTTTCAGATAATAAGGTATTTTAACACACTTACTGATGAACATTACACAGTAATTTCTAATTGTAAGGTGTCTCAAAACACTTAACTGATGAATGTAACAAAGTAGTTTCTAATTGTAAGCTGTCACAACACACTTACCGATCAATGGACCATAGTTTCAGATAATAAGGTATTTTAACACACTTACTGATGAACATTACACAGTAATTTCTAATTGTAAGGTGTCTCAAAACACTTAACTGATGAATGTAACAAAGTATTTCTAATTGTAAGGTGTCTCAACACACTTAATGATAAACATTACACAGTAATTTCTAATTGTAAGGTGTCTCAAGACACTTAACTGATGAATGTAACAAAGTAATTTCTAATTGTAAGGTGTCTCAAAACACTTAACTGATCAATGTAACAAAGTAGTTTCTCATTGTAAGGTATCTCAACACACTTAATGATAAACATTACACAGTAATTTCTAATTGTAAGGTGTCTCAAGACACTTAACTGATGAATGTAACAAAGTAGTTTCTAAGTGTGTTTCAACAAATTTACTGATGAATGTAACATAGTAGTTTCTGATTGTAAGTTATCTCAACACACTTACTGATGAGCATAATACAGTATTTCTAATTCGAAATGGTGTATTTAAGTGTTTTACACTCACAAAAAGAAACCCATCATTCTATAGGTATTTGAAGAACTTGTAGCATTCTGCCACAATTTAATTCTTTGTATTGTTAGTCAACACTAGGCAGCTGGTACATAATTGAATAAAGTTATTTAAACATTTGTTTAACAACAAGTAAAAGCTTGGAATGGTCTATTCTTTCATTGTGGTGTGTGTTTGTGAACCAGACTAGTTTTGGAGAATTCCATTCCTCATCAGTGAACCTGGACACTATCACCAATGAAACTTCAGACTTAAATACACCAATCGATTTTTGATACCTCACTAATATAAAGGCTTAGTTTGGTCTTTTACTTGTTGTTAAACAAATGTTATAACAACTTTATTCAAGTATTTCTAATTGTAAGGTATCTCAACAAACTTACTGATGAAATAAACACAGTAGTGTCTAATTGTAAATTATCCCAACACCCTTACTGATGAACCTAACACAGTAGTTATTAATAGTAAGGTATCTCAACACAGTTATCGATTAACACAACACAGTAGTTTCTGAATGTAAAGTGTCACAACACTTATCAAAGAAAGTAACTTAATAGTTTCTGATTGTAAGGTATTACAACACATTGATGAACACAACACAGTAGTTTCTGAATGTAAAGTGTCACAACACTTATCAAAGAAAGTAACTTAATAGTTTCTGATTGTAAGGTGTTTCAACACATTGATGAACACAACACAATAGTTTCTGAATGTAAAGTGTCACAACATTAATCAAAGAAAGTAACTTAATAGTTTCTGATTGTAAGGTGTTTCAACACATTGATGAACACAACACAGTAGTTTCTGAATGTAAAGTGTCACAACATTAATCAAAGAAAGTAACTTAATAGTTTCTGATTGTAAGGTGTTTCAACACATTGATGAACACAACACAGTAGTTTCTGAGCATGAGGTGTTTCAACATATTGATGAACACAACACAGTAGTTTCTGAGCACGAGGTGTTTCAACACACTTAGTGGTGAATGTAACACAGTACTTTCTGATTGTGTCTCAACACATTTTTTGATGAACGTAACACAGTAGTTTCTGAGCATAAGGTGTCTCAACAAACTTACTGATGAAAAGAACATAGTAGGTTCTGATTGTAAAGTGTCTCAACATACTTACTGATGAACATAACACAGTAGTTTCTGATTGTAAGATGTTTCAACAAGCTGACTGATGAACATAACACAGTAGTTATTAATAGTAAGATATCTCAACACAGTTATCGATTACTACAACACAGTAGTTTCTGAATGTAAAGTGTCACAACACTAACAAGTGAACGTAACACACTACTTTCTGATTGTAAGGTGTTGCAACATTCCTGATGGAATCAAAACATAAACGTACCATTCTCCTGAGAGATACAGTTCTTGACATTTTCTCTTTTTTAAATATTAAAGTCAAACTTAGTGACTAGGAAAGAGAAGAAATATTGTTCCAAAGAAAAGCACATATCCTGTTCTAGTCAAATCTAAATGAAAAGATCAGAGTTAATATATTATTATTATTGTATTAAATGTGATCATAAGAAACCCAAATTTTTTAAACTTTAAAACATACCTCTCTTGTCTCCGCACAAATCTTACAAAGCCACTGTTGCCCTTTCTGGGAAGAAGCAAAATCCACTCCGCATTTAGTACAGACAGCCTACAATCGTGACAAACAGTGGAATCCATTACTTAAACAGTACAGAGCTCTTCTGAGTGAAAGAAACTTTTTAAAGTTAATAAACTTTATAACTCTAAAAATCATGACAAATATCATTAATTATGATTAGTTTCGGCCATAGATGTACACAAGGCATCAGCAATTTCAAAGAATTGTTTTTTAGGATAACTAATTTCATAAATTTTACAAAAAAGTATTTAAAAATGTTTCTATTTATGAAGTTACCAACATTGTACAAATAAGTTTTTTTAAAAAGAAACAACTTTTGATACTAAAGATGAAAGATTTTAAGAAATTGGTTTTGTAAAATACACAGTTTCAAATGTGTAAAAAACTAACTAGTTTTGTAATTAAATACAAACTAAATAAAGCACAAGTTTATTACTTTAGCTTGGAAGGCTTAAAACAACAGAGAAGTGTAAATATAAAACACATGCTTTATCATGACATCCAATAAAATACACATCTGATTACAATACACAAAGACTGTATTCAATACAGAGTACACCGAGCTTATGATAAATATCACTGTTTCACTATAAACACATGTGAATGCTATAAACATAGAGTAGTTACATTATACACTATAAACTGATTACCGTAAAAATACAATAGTTACATTATACACTATAAACTGATTACCGTAAAAATACAATAGTTACATTATACACTATAAACTTCTAAGTGAGAGGTAACTAACCATTGGAGGTGATCTCATCACCTTATCTACTGGTCTAGGTGAGAGGTAATTAACTATTGAGGTGATGTCATCACCTTATCTACTGGTCTAGGTGAGAG